TGAATGGGTGACCTCTCCATATTAAACTTTCAAGCATTCTGAGTATTTAAAATGATTCTGCAGAATAACTGTTTCTGACTTTCCAGGTCCATGTTTCTTCTGCTTTTATTTGACATGCACTTTTGACAGTAACATTTTACAGAATAACGATGAGGACACGATTTGCTGCACACATGCATCGACTCTATTCATATGTGCAGTACTGCAATGCATTGCTCTGTTCAAAAGATAGTTGATGAGATAAATTATTTTCCTCTTCTGTATTCCACTTAGGTTGCCTTGGAAAAAGTTTTTAACTTTGCTGTTTCAAATATATTTGAGACAAGAGTTGCTGGTCGGATGGTTGCTGACATGTGCCGGGCTGCAGTAAAAGTGAGAAAGAGAGCACTTTTATTTCACTGGGAGTTTAATTTACATACAAGACTATTACTACTTATTGAACCTGCATTACTTTTGTGGAAAACTTTAAATGACTGGAAATTTAGGTTTTTCTTACAATCTATCTGTAATTATCCTGCTTAAAATCTGATAGTTGTAATGGGATGAAAATGTAACAGGTTAATTAGTATGTGAGTATAATTTAAAATCCATAGGACTGCAAGTTTGAGATGCAGTTTGTATTACACTTTAAATATACCATTGTGTTTGCTGAGAATTAAAAGTATGGAATCAAACTCCAACCATCGAAAAGTTTTAGGTTGAATAACAGCCAGAGCTGAGTAAGGTCCTGTTCTTATTTCTTTACTTTTCTGTTGTAAATAATGTTGTGAGATGATGCTGATTATGCTTCATGTTTATCACCGTAAGATCTTCTTGTTTAAATTGATTATTTGTGACAATGTTTTCAGTGCTGCCCTGAGGAATCTCTGAAGCTCTTTGTGCCCCATTGCTGCAGTGTTATAACTCATCTTACCATCAGTAAGTTCAGAAGATTTCAAATTGTATTCCACTAGCCTCCTACAGGATGGAGTATTGCTGATCTAAAACTTAGAATTGGTATTTTAAAATCAGCATCTACTCTTTGGAGAATATTCTGTTTTCTTTTATAAATTAAAGTCATCTGACAGACAGGGAAAGAATAAGTGCTTTTATTAGGATGTGTGTAGAAAGATTCTGTTTGTAAACAAATTCTAAAGAAATGTGGTTTCCAAAAGTCATTTCAAGAGATGAAAAACAAACTTTTCGTCTGCTGTGTTTAATAAAAGCACTTATAAGAATAGGCTTGACTCTCTGATTCCTGAGTTAGTATTAAATAAATGCATTTACTTCTTGACAATCACACTGACTGCATTGGCATCTGGTGGGTGGGAATTAAATATGAATTTGAAGGTTGGGGCAGGTTAAACATTCATAAATGTAAAACTCTGGATGTGAATTGCTGAGCTGATTTGTAATACTCAAGTGGCTTTAACTTTTGAAATTGGCAAACCTTCAGATGAACATTTAACTACCATATAGTAACAGTAGCGCTTAACACTTTTTCTCTTTAGATGATGATGTCTTGCATGATGAAGAGCTAGATAAGGAGCTACTCTGGAACCTTCAGCTTTTGTCAGAGGTATTGCAAAGAATGTTAAAATTTAAATTCTGGTTGTCTCTTTGCATGTCTGTTCCATCGTTGGCTCAACTTTAGTGCCATTGGGAGGAAAAAAGCAGTTCATTTTTGCTATTGCACTATTATACTTAAAGTTTGTATGTAATATTTCATATAGTCTTTTTCCTAAAGACTGCAGAATTAAGCAAGAGTGGGTAATAGATGATATACATTACAGAAAATGAATGTCTTAATTATATGGGAAATAAATTTAAAGTCTTTGGTTCTAGTACCAGTAATGGACAGGGGATGAAACTGTGCCAGAGAAGATATATATTTTAAAATGAAACTTGAAAAGATCCACTGATGAAGGCAGAAATCTTGCATATGATGGAGGTTGGACAGCACTGGGACTTGGGGAGGCCATAGAGTCAGGAGTTGCTGTTGCAGTAGTCAAGTTGATATTGTTTCATGTAGCAGCAGAAGTGGATGTTTCTATACAAATTTAATGGAGCACCACTTTAAGAGAGAGTTTTATACTAGGTACTGGGGACTTGTGTTTAGCTTTATTATCCTGTGCTACAGCTCTTGAACTTTATTGGTTATGTTTACTTCTGAATGTTTCTACCATTTTATTAGATCACTCGAGTGGATGGAAAGAAGTTGCTGCCATACAGGGAGCAGCTTGTGAAGATTCTGCAGCGAACCCTACATTTAACCTGTAAGCAGGGTTACATTCTGTCTTGTAACCTACTGCACCATCTTCTTCGTTCTACTACACTTATCTACCCCACAGAATACTGCAGTGTGCCAGGTGGCTTTGACAAGCCTCTTTCTGAATACTTTCCTATCAAGGCAAGGATTTTCATTTATTTAGGATTAGAGGATTTGACAGCCTTTTTAAAAAAATGCTACTCTATTTTATTTGTTTTTATTTCAAGATTTATCAATACAGTGACTATGGAAAGTGTAATTGAAAGATGCTTTAAACTTTGAAACCTGCATTGCAAATTAGTAGCTATATTAACTGAAATAATCTTATGCTAGTAGCTGAAAAGATTAATGCTAAATATTATGTTGAATAGCTTAATGACATGGAGCACACTTAGTATTGCTGATGTTCACACTATTATATTTAAATAGTGTAAAACAAAGCAGATGATCATAGTTTTGTATTATGCCTAAATGTAGCAATTTATGATGAGCTGACTTGAGACCTGACAATCATGAGATGCAGTGGTACAAATTGCTCTTAGCTTTAAAGTTGAGCAGCAAAGTTTTGGATTCCTCAACACTCCACCAACCCTCCTTTTTTTTTTTTTTAACATAAAACGTCTAGACCAGAAAATATTAACATATTTGATATGGTCTCCCAAAGCATCATTACCTCACCTCCATATCTGATGAGTCAGACTTATAGCTCTTCCTGGTTCCTCTTCCCCACATATGGGACGTATGACTTCATGAACAGTGGAAAATGTATGCAAAATAAGTAAATATGAACATGTGTTTTTTTTAAACCTGATTTTCCACTGCCTTGCCCTTTGTTTAGTCATTTATACCAGTTGAAAGTGGTTGGGAAACGAGACCATTTTATAAAAGGATCAGAACAGAGAAATATTAGACAAATATTTGAGGAGCGATTATTTAAAGAAAAATAATCAGAATAATAAATGTACAGTGAAATTACACTGTCACATTTAAAATTCAGTTAAAATATAAATAGATGCAGCAATAGTAACAAAACATTAAATTGCAACTTGAATATTTTGCTGGCCTTTGGTTTTTATCTTCTTTGCGTTGACATACTAATATACAACAATGAGCAAGTTGTCAGCTGGTTTTCAGGTTATTAAGGGAGCCTTTTCTAGCAATAAAATTACATTTTACTTAATCAGATTGTCTTTTGAAAAACTCAGAAATTGTAGTGGATGTCATCTTCATTGGTGGAAGCTAGTGCAGTTTTGTTGTATATATGTGTATAAAAATCAAGTCATTTAGCTTTCTACCACTTGTTACTACCATTATAAGCAAGCCTAAAAAAAAAAAAAAAAAAAAAAAAAAAAAAAAGACCTGTTATTCTGAATACTTGTCCTGAAACTGAGGAGAAAACCCAGTATTTCAGAGTTAATTATGCATACCACATGCTTTCTAAACAGACACTTTATTCCAACTGCTAATTGTCATAAAAATCTATCATATGCTTCTTATAATATTTGTTTCTGTGTTAACTTGTCATTCTACAAAGTAATATCCATGGAAGACTTGGATATTTTTCCAAAGATGACAAGTAACAGCAAGCTCTTTTTTACAAATGGACAATCCCTGTCATCTTAACTTTCCTCTTTACTGATTGTTTCTGAGGTCAACCAAACTAAAAGCTTTAGAAGTAATATGGTAAGATTATATTCTTAACTAACTGCATGAAGATAGGCAAGAACTGGAGATGAAGAGGGTGTTTGCGAAGAGTTGCCAAGGATATGACAGTTAGTTGATTTAGAGCTCTTGCCATCATAAGCAGATATCAGCAGGTGTCTGTGAATTTGGAGGAAAGACAGGTGTTTACGTACGTTGATTCTGTACCATGTCTGAACTCTGTCTAGAAATCACAAAATAACAGGTCCCTTCCTATCTCAGGTATGAGTTGCTGCAACACAAAGCTCTTCTAATCTGCTGAGTCATCCCAAAATGTGTTAATGCAAAACTTAACTGCAGAACTATCCTCCAAATCTGAGTAGCAAATTCCTGAGCCTTTTGAGGGTTTTTATCTTGATTTCAGCTGACACTGGTTTCTTTATTAAACATACATACCCATTCTGACCTAAAAGTAATTATAGTATAATATGATGGCTATTTGCTCTATGTGAAATAAGATGGGATTCCCCAGTGGACATGTCCACATTGCATTTGGGACCCTTGTTGGAATGTCTTGGTCAAGAGGTCAGACACTAAATGAGCATAGAGCCTGAAATAACCTCTTGTTCCTAACAGTGGTTTCTCCAGAAAAATATTGAGCTGAATATGAGGAATCTTGTGCTGTCATTGTCTGTTGTGCATCTCTTCTGTAGGTAGAGAACTTAAGTTTTAGGTTGTCAGGGGCTGTGTTTATACAGCGCCTACCAGAGTGGGGACCTAATCCACGACTGGGGCTCTTGGGTTCTACAAAATCTCTCTCAAGTCACACTAGCTGGCAGCTGTCCTTCTTTTATGTTAACATAACTGTCACTTATTTGCATTTGATGACTTTCTTGGCTAAAATCTGGGTAATTAGAATGGGTGACCTCAGATTACCTTAATTTCTCCAAACTGGACACAACATTACTGCACCACAGGGGAATTCAAATAAGCTTTGTAAATTATTAGACTGAATTTTGATGATCTGGGATGGGAATGTCAAACTTTAAATTTGTTTTTTATAATGAATGAGTATACCAAATTTCAGGATTGTTTTAAAAGAGTGAGTGATTGAAAACTGATAAAATAGGCTAATCTTTTGGTGACCTCTGATGGAAAGATCAAAAATCAGAGTTAGAATTTGGGGTATTTTGTATATTTGAGACCTATAATTGAATGACTGTGTCAAATGGCAACAATTTACTTCAGTGAGAACATCAGAATTGTCAGTGAGTTATTCCTTGCAAGCATATCTTTTATATTTTAGCTATTTGTTGCAGATTTCATATTGTTCTTGGATTGCCAACTAGATTTGAGTATAAATTTAACTCCTTGAACTGGCAGTTATTTTTTCTTATGGGTAGTCTTATATTTAGAAGTTATGTTATTCACATCTTTTAAGTTTTTAATGAATCTTTGCTTCACATTTTACTAAGGGGAAATGGCTTTTTGTTTTTGTTCTTATAGGACTGGGGTAAACCAGGTGACTTGTGGAACCTGAATATCCAATGGCATGTTCCTTCGTCTAAGGAAATAACCTTTGCCTATTACTTACTGGATTCTTTTCTTCAGCCGGAGCTCACCAAGCTAGAGCACTATGCAAATGGAAAGCAAGAAATGTCCAGGTCAGTAGTTTCATATGGGATACACTAAGTGACTCTATCCATATATATTAGTAGCTGCAATTTGCATTGCTTATGTTCATAGGCTAGCATCTATTGCATAGGCTACTTCTGGGGAAATTCTGCACCAAAATATTAAAAATTCCGCACACAATATTTTAAAATTCTGCAAAATTCTGCATATTTTATTGGTCACAATAACACCATATAATCACACCAGTTTCAATTATTTTGGTAATTTATTTCAAAATACCGGTCAGCAAGCATGTCTGTAACAGTACAGACAACAAAAAAGATTCAGGAAAGTTTTTTGACAAATAGATTCCTTACTAGGCATATTAAGACAGGACTTTGAGTAATTCATTTAAACTACAATACAGAACCATATTTCCCACACCCCTCAGAAACAGTGCAAAGGCTTGGGGGAGCCAGGGGTAATGGAGGAGTTGAGGGAGAGGGTAGGAGCCTGGGAGTGAACCTGGAGGGTTGTTAGGTATGGGTGGGAGAAGAATGGAACAGGTTTGGGGAGGGAGAGGGATTGTTAGGGAGCTTTCCCCATGCAGATCCTGGCTGACCCTTAGCCTCTCCCATTCAGTCAGCTACATCTGCCCCTGTTCCCATGTGTCCCATGTCCTTGCACCCCTAGTCCCCATGTGTCCCTCCACCCCCAGTCAGACACCCACTCCCCATCCCCATGTGGCCCTGCACCCCCTCAGCCATCTCCCTTCCCCCATGTGGCCCTGCACCCCCCCGTCCCGATGTCCCCCCTGGTGGCCCTGTATCTCCATTCAGCCCCTGCCCCAGTCTGTCCTCCCTCACTAGCCCTTATGAACCCCTGTTTGTGACTCCGGAAGCTCCATCTTCCCTATGCTGTCTCCCCATATCCCCGTCTCCTGACCTAGCCTGACAGGCGCTGTGAAGAAGGCAGTGCAGGCTCTTTCTCTTCCCTATGTTAGCTGGGGCTGGCTGGGAGTGTCTGCTCTGTTTTAGCGCCATAGCGCCCTCTGGTGAGCAAAAGGCGTAACTCCAGCAACTTTCCAGCAGAAGCTATTTTCTGCAGAAAAAAATAAAAATATGTGCAGCACATGAATTATGCATGTGTGCAGTGGTGCAGAATTCCCCCAGGAGTAATAGGCACTGTAAACATTTAAAAAATAATAAAATAAAGGATAGTGAAACACCTTGGTGATGCTTTGCCATGTGACTTCCTGAAATATTTTTCCTGAGATCTGTAAAGCATCTGTAAATTCTGAAAACTCTGGGCATTTTGGTGGATGCCCCTTGCTTTAAATATGTGACAGATTCTTTTGAACTATGGTCAGAAACACCACAATGTAAAAGTCCTTGAAAATAGGGGTCTTTGTATCAATTTAAGCTTCTTCCTAAAAGACTGAAGTACATGGACATATAGTTTTATAACTCATAGGTAGTATTCTCTGATTAAGGTAAGCACTAAGTTTTTAGTGGTGTCCTTCAGGAAGACAGACATGTGGGGCCCCTCCAGCTCTCTGTCTCTGTGAGCAGACTTTCACATTTTCATATATCCATGACAACCATTGGCTGCCTCTTACCTGCTCCTTTCAATCACTCTCTACAGAACTCCAGCCAAAAATATATTTTAAAAAGGAGCTAACCAGAGTGCGGAACTAGTATGGGATTTACAAGCCATTTCTCTGGTTATATATCCCCTGTGTCTGCCTTTTGTATTTATATTTTAAGCTTTTCAGGGCAGGGACCATCTCTGAATCTGTTTATATAGTGTGTAGCATGATGAGACCTCTGTCTTGGTCAGGGTATATAGGTGCTCTCACAATATTAAAATAGTAAATATTGAGGGGGAAAAAAGCCGTAGCAGGAAAATAAATTCAAGAGCTTGAACTAGAAAATGAGAGGAAAACAGGGCAACAGACCCAGTAGAGGCCATTAGTGGTATTGCGGTTGGCTGATAGGTAAGGGTTAGGGATGGATCCTGGATGAGTGCTGTGTACCCAGGTACAGAGATGTTTGAAATTTGTTACTGCTTGAGTTCCTTTTTCTCCCAAAGTTGCCAACTCCAATAGTTTGACTCCATCGTCCGAGAACTAGAAATCACATTTTTTGTGGATATTTGTCCTGGAAATAAAAGTACATATTTAGCAGTTTATGCTTAAGCCATATACAAAAATCAGTGAGGAGGTGTTCTATCTTAGTTAATTTCCTTAATATAAATATTTCCCGGCACTTTTATAATGGAGTCATACAGGTGAAGATGAATAAAAAGTTCAAATATAGACATCAGTGTTTAAAAACATGAAGGATTCTTCACATTTAATGCATAATAGCTAAGGATTTTGTAATCAAGGAGCACTTCCCCCCCAAAATTAGTTAGGAATTCAAAAAACAGTGCCAGAAATTATTTTAAAATGTATAAACTGCTCATCACAAGCCTTTTTAATAAAAGGACAGAGGACTAACTTTGTAACTAATGTAAATTTTCAGTGTAATACGCAGGTCCCCTATATGATGGAAGCGTTCTAAGTTTTGATTTTAGGAGGCCACTCATTACCAATAGTTAGGAAAAAATTATTTTGCTCTTCAAAATCTACAGTAGCACAGAGATATAAAAACATTAACACTGTTAAAAAAATCTTCCTGGGAAAATGATCCCCTTCACAATAGAACATTTTATGTACTGGAGAAAACTTTCATTCACTGACTCCTGTTCACTGTGGGGTGAATTTTCCTCTTCTCCCCCCCCCCCCCCCCCCAAAATAGAAATGTGAGTTTCAGTACAGACTTTGAATATAGTACCAGATAAAATTTTCAGATAATATTTGGGGTTTTATCTGTGCATTAAATTAGAATCTTCATCTTGTGCTGCAGATGATTTCCCTCACTATTTCAGGATGGTGTGCAAAATAAATAATTCAGAAAACTAAACTGTTGAGGGTTAGGGCTTTGTGAAAGGAGGTGTTTCATGAAAGGATATTTTATGAAATGGTCTTTAAGATTAATGAATTAGAGGATCAGAAATGAATGACTTGCCTGCAGAGCACCTCTAATGGGGAGAAGCTTCTAAGATTACCCAAGAAGAAACATCTTTATTAAAAAAATTGATAAAAAGAAAATAAATAGTCTTCACTTATAATTTTCTAACATTAAAATTTTTGACTTAAATGTTAACTTTTTTGACTTCCAGAGATGATGTACAGCAGTGTCTCACTATAGTGCACAACTGCCTAATTGGTTCGGGGAACATTCTACCTCCTCTAAAAGGAGAGAGGATAGCTCACCTGTAAGTAAGCTCTGTTATATGTAGTTTATGAATACGGTATTAAAATATTGTTAGTAATATATTTTTAGTACTATACTTTTAAACATTATAATATTTAATTTAGTATTCCTATTCTTATTTTTATTATTGCACAGTGGATTCTAAGACAGATTTTTTTTTTTCCGGTGAATTCTTTGAAAACAAAACTTATCTAATGCCACTAAGGAAAATGCATTGTTTCAGGTTTGTGGTTATATAAATACTTAGATATTTAAGATGTGAAATAATACTTAACACGTACACTTTTCATGCATAGATGTTAATATGCTTTATGAAGGTAGGTAATCAGCATTGTATCATTGTCACCGTTATACATATGGGGAAACTGAAGCACAGACAGGCTCAGTGACTTGTTCAAAATTATATAGTGAGACAGTGGTAGAGTCAGGAATAGAGAGCAGATCTGCTGGCTCTCAGGTTGTGACTCTTCCCCTCCCCCACGCACACACACACTGGATCAAACAAGCTGTTTCCCTCTTGTCAAAATTACTTCATTGTTCAGTATTCAGACTTTCATTTAAAATATTTGTATCTTGCCTCATCACAAAGAAAACACGTACAATGTAAGCCAGTGTACTCCTGTCTTGTTAAGATTCTTACCAGACAACCTGAAAGAATAAAGCCATCAGGGCTCTGAGCTTCCCACGGTCTTTATAATGGGATGTTAACTTCAGAAAAGGTCAGAAATTGAATTTTGAGGTCTTTTTGTTACATTAAAAGAGCAGATTAGTTCCATTCCGATTAGGTTACTGAATACCCATGCAACTGTGTAAGACCAGAAGTGAACCTGGCTACCAGCACCTGTATACTATGGACTTCAGAAAATATATATTCTCACTACAGTAAATTATAATTATGAAAGTAAAGGAATTTATTCCTGTTGCATGTTAGTTCAGGCTTTAAATATGTTCATTGTGCTATTGTTGGGATCATTTCCTCTCTTTTGAAAAATATTGAAATATGGAAATTTAAATATAACTATGAGTTAAAATGTGTTCCTTCTATTATCACAAGAGGCTGAAGAACTCTTTACAACACGTAGGGCTCTATTCTGGCTTTTACACCTGGAGCTTGCACTGGGTTGCAGAGTGAGCGCTGAGGCTCTCCACACAAACAGCAAGCCTCTGGGAGTGGGAGTCCATGCCAGAGTGGGATCTACAGAACCCTTTGGGAAAGTGTGGAATTGTCCTGGTCCTATTCTGTTGGCCAGTGTGGGAGGATAGTGGGGCCATGGCTCCCACCACACGCTGTTGCTGTCCTCCCTCCTTGAGGTGTTTCAGTACTAGACACTTGCCAGGAGTGCAGGCACTGAGTTTGAGGCTGCCTTTTGCACAGGGTCACGAAAGAGGAAGAAAGACCTATTAAGTGGTCCCCCCACTATTACGCACTAGCCACAATCTAGTCCACAAGATGTCAGATAGCCACAGGAGTGGAACTTCTTTATCTGTGGTCACATAAATATATAAAAAATAAACTCAGTTGAGCAGTTGTTCACTGTCTCTTCTACCCAATACCTAGGCCCTGCTCTGTTTTCTAGAATTGAAGCTTTAATTTGATTCACCATCAAAGTGGAAGCTTCTTTTATTAGGTGTTAAGATCCTCAGTAGAATCTTTAGTGAGTTGAGGCCAACACTGGTTGGTCAGAAAATGGACAAAGGCTGTTTTTTGGCTTTACATTGCAGTTGATTGTTTAGTCTCTCCTGATTTGGAATTAGTACTGTTGGCCAATGTAACAGGGCAGTTCTCTGTCCCTGCTCTCTGGTATCACAGAAACCTGCTCAGACTCCATTGGTTGAATATCCACACCATGCTGTTTATTTCAGATACCTCCACCAAGACCTTTACAGTTTTGTGCAGCAGTAATTACGCACAATGGCCCTGGTATCCTCAGTGCTTCTCCCTGGGCCTATGAGGAGTAGAGGTCTCTCTTCCTGGAGGGCTCTCTGACTCTGGGCTCAGCTAGCCCTGCTCTTTCCCTTACACTTCCTTCCTGTGCCTTTTTATCAGTCCTCAGTTGAGGGGCTAATTAATCCTTTAGCTCACCCAGCCTGCTATCCTGATTAACTAAGTACATTTTGATGCCCGAATCAGCCCTCTGAGGGGAAGATAATTTGTGTCAGAATGATCAGAGCGCAGACTCACCTGTTAACGCCCTGCATTCTGTCACAGGCAATAACTGTAAGTTCCTGCTGGGAGATTTCCTTCTTATCAGATATTTGCTTTTTTGCCTCTTTCAAATCAGATGAGGCCTGGTCTACCAGTGAAATTGTAAATTACTGTTCGTTGCAATATTTTTGGAAGCTTTGCCTTTTCCTGTTCTGGTTTAACAAGTGTGCATTGTTAATTAATATATACGTTTTTAAAATGTTCATATATAAACAATTGGTGGCCTCAGAAATCAAATATCCCAGATTTCTCTGCATCACAGTGTCTGAATTTTACAACTCAGTAAATATAACTAGTTTATTCTGTACATCTGTCAAGTCTCAAATTCCTTCATGCTATCTCTCTCTTTTGGCAGCCTATTTCACATATTGATGACCCTTATGAAGAAACTGCTTTTGACATTTCATCTAAGTCTTTTTTCCTTTAGTTGACCTCAGGTGACACCTTTGCCTTGTCATGTGAACAGATTTTATCCCTAGATCCTTGTATGATCCCATTGAGTCTTTTTAAAACCATGATTAAGACAATTCTCAATCATCTCTTTTCGAGGCTTAACTTAGAGCTCTTGAAGTGTGCCCTCCAAAATCAGCCCTTCCTGTATCTAAATAGCCCATATAATTCTCCCCTTCACTTTAATTAATAGCTTTATAAAAGCTGAGTGATTGATGCTGTGCACTAGTATCTTAAATGTGATCCAGGCTTCTGGGGAAGGAAGAAGACTGATAGAAATACAGGAATCATTTTAGTTTTAGTTTCATGTCAAAATACATTTATCTGTTCCCAGAAGAAAAAGACATGAAGAGTATTTCAGTATACCAGAATGCACATAAAGTTAATAAATAATAATAAGCTTTCATTTCTATGCCTTTTTTTTACATCATAAGCATTCTTATATACTAGGATATTTTATGTGAATAACAGGTCCTACCAAAAAGGAACCCAAAACAAAAACCAGACAACAGAATTTGGAGATGTAACATCTTTAGGGTCTGGTTCCTTTAGGGAGGAGAATGATCTGAATAGCTGAGGCAACATACCGCTCTGCACACTAGATAGTATTGATGCTGTCTCTTCTGGCCCACGTTCTCCTTGCAATTCTGCATCTGGATTGTGTGCAGGAAGACTCTTACGTTAGGCTAACTGCCAAGAACAGTGAAAAGTTCATTCAGTCATAATTGCATTGAGTTCATTATTGTTGTTGTTTTTTTTTTTAAATAACATTATCGATCACATTGTTAAATATGTTGGAAAGCCTGTAGTCACTGAGGCTGTAAGTCATTTTCAGGTTTCAAACTTGGACGTGTCAAGATAGAGGGACCAAAAGAAGTGGCCTGATTTTTTTTATTTTTTCCCCAGCAGTGCTAAGCACTCTCAGCTCCTTTCACTAGCTTTGAAGATCAGGCCACATATGTAGGTTCTTCATACAAACTTCAGTGACTGTTTGCAACACTTGTATCTGAAAACTTTGGTGTAAGTTTTTGCAAAGATGCTTTTAAATACACAAACTGGCTTAGTGGCTTCCTTATTGTAATATCACAGTGTTCAGAAGTCCTTCTACACAAAATGTACATATTAAGGTGAGCACATGCATGGCCATCATCATGGCCAAACTTAAGCTCCTCTACTGGCCTGCCTAATATTTAATACATATCCTTAGTTGTGCATGGCATTTTACAGAGAGAATAAAAATATTGTCTGCAATGCTTTCAAGAGCTTGTCTATACTGGAGATTCTCTGTGCCAGCATAGCTGATCTGGTGCGGACTTATAGTGAAGAGGTGCTACACTGGTGTAAAAAGTGATTTGGCATGGTGCACCTTACTAGGATTTGAAACAGGGTAATGTACTATTGCAAGCCACTCTTTTTCTGGCACACTTTGTCTACTTTAGAGGTTTGCACCAGTTCAGCATCAAGGCAACTAAGTTGATGTAGCTATACTGGTACAAAAAACCAAGTGTAGTGTGGAGGTTAAAGTGGCAGTTTTCAAAATATTGAGTACTGGATAGTTTTAAAATTAAAATTACCAAAAATTATCAAGGTTGACAATTGGGAGAAACAATAAATGATTAAATGAAAGTATTAACCAACTTACTCTTAGGACTAGTTCCGGGAAAAGAAAATCAGCAGATGGAGCTATCTGATCATTAATTTGCGACGCTCCCAGAAAGAGATGGTCCTACATTGGATTAGAGGATGCCAACCAAATAAACAAAGAAATGTGACTTTGAAATAAGGCTTATTTATTTAGGGGAAAAAAGACCCCTCTAAAATTAACTGAATGGTAAAGGATATGCAAATGATTTACACAGTATAGAAGGTAAATAATTGAGTTATAAAAAAATAAAAACTCTGTAAAGAAATGGAAAAATTGATTGTTTAAATGAATGTTTTTAATTGACAATCAAATGTTACAAGTGAAATTTAACACCGTGATTGAAAATCAGTATCACAAACACAGTAGTAAACTGAAGAAAGTTCAGTATAGTAACTCTTAAAATCACTTAAACTTTCTAAAACTAAACACAGTAGTCAAAATTGATTACAATACAAGACCAAATGGATACCAATAACTCTTAGGTTACACCATATTAATTACATAGTGTGTAACCTAACATGTTTCAAAAGTAAAAATATTAATATTAAATTATATCAGTGTGTTAAAACAAAAGGGCATTAATGGTCAATGAAGCTAATAATTCATTGGCATTCCAAATCAATTTAACAAGAAAACAAAAAGCAATATAACCAATCACCACACATATAACGCTGCAAATCACAATTTAAAAGTATGTAAC